GGAAACAGCATTACCCTAGAATCGTATTTGATTTTACAGAATGCTGTAAGAAAAAGCGTTTTTAGAAGCCCAGAATTGAGCTACTTTACCCCACTCTCTCTATATGCACTTGTTGCTCATACATGATGCCAAACAGCTAGTGCTTCCAGCACAAGAGCCTTCTAATGCCATGAGAGAAAGAATAAAGGATAATCTCTGCACTGTTGTACTACTGCTGCTTTCCAACAGGGCAGTTGTTCAGACCACTGATGTGTCCTGGGCAATTACATTTTTTGTAAGGTAGTTTCACAGTACTCCCCAATACAAGGAGAGGTAAGCAGCTTAGGACTGTTTTAGTGCCTCTGTGCCAACAGCAAACATACACAAAACTACTGATTTTCTGCCCAGACCAGGATGGTGGTGAGAAGCAGTGTATCAGCACAGTATCCCAGTTCAACACCAAACATCACAACCTGTGTAGTTTTTGAAACCTTATCATCAGTAGGAAGCAATTCACAAGGGAACACAGTACAGAACACAGCAAATACTGCTCTCATAGAATAAATTCTGTGTGGATCTAGCAGTTTGCCTTGAAAGTTTGGGTTTTATTACTTAACCACCCCAGTTCAAATCCTTCCACTTAATTTATGATTTTGAAAACTACTGTAAATATGCAAGACAATTTTTTTTGTCATTCATGTAGTTCCTTCAGTGTGGTTTTCAGAATTTAAATCAGTTACTTAATTTCTAGAGGAGTATTTACTTCTGTCATTTGCTCTGTGCTACTGTTCATGGTAGTCCCACCTCACACACAGAAAACCTCATCTGATAACCCTTGTGCTTACAGTTATTCCCAAGATTAGAAGTACTAATTTTCATTGCTTCTTTTAAGAAATTTATTTCCTTTTATAGACCCACTTATTACTTCCTAACCTTTGAAAAGAAATGTTATTTCCTTCAACACAAGAAAAGAATTCCCTAATGATCCAAGCTTCCCTCAAATCAAGAAAAATCTCATCTCTCATTTTTTTGATCCAGTGATGTGGAAACATTTATTGCCTTCATTTCCATTTCTCACTGTAGCACATCATATTGGCAACTATAACTAAATAGCATCCAAACCCTGAATACATACAGCTGGAAATTTTGCTATGGGACTACTGACTGCAAGAAAGTTCAGTGACATCAGAATGAAATGAGACTCACAGCCAAGGGAATGGATCTTTACATCTCTCAAAGCTGTGGACAAACCATCCTATGGCCAAATTGCCACAGCAACGTTTAGCCTTGGCTAGTTACAGAAACAAACAAATGGTCTTACCTGTTTAGCATTGCTATTAGCTGTTTTCTTCATTTCATCAAGAAGTCCTCTAGAAGTTTTAAGATCCTAAATAGGAAACAAAAAGCCACAGAAATCAGCAAACTCATATGGTCACTCCAATTTGGGTTATAAGAGCCCTGATAACCAGGGCAGTGTTATGCTTTTATCACCTTGTTCAAAGCAACAGAAGAATTGTTTGACTTTGCCTTTTTTATGAAAGAAGGAAATAATTAAAATCTATTCCAATGGGTTGCAGCTTTCCTTACCAATCTCCAAACCTAGTGGCTCAAGTGTTTTCTTAAATTATAGTCAAAGTTCTTACACTTTTGCTTGAAATCTTATTTCTACATAAACACAGAAACCATCAGTGAGCTTAGACTGCAATACAGAGTTCTGGCAAAGAGCAGAGAAGAGGACATGAGAACAGAAAATCAGTGCAAGAAAGGAAAAACCTAGAATGGCTTATCTGTTTTGCCATTCAGTTAATTCAACCTAATCTACTCTTTTAAACTAAGCAAGAACAAGTCTTCTTGCCTAGAGAGCAAGAAAATTCATTTACTACTTGTCTCCAGAGGAAAATTAATACCTATAATATTGTGCTTCTGAAGTATGCAGCACACAAAAGGATTTGAAGGGCTCCCACAGACTTGGGGCTGCAGGACAGGTCATGAGAACAAAATCCTGTGACACCTCTCTCTGGATCAGCTTTCCGAAGGACAGGATCACAGCAGTGATCTGATTGATCCCCACAGGCAGCCCTTTCTGATTTTGGATTAGATCTTCCTTCATGGCATATTTCACGGACATTTTAGGAGCACTTACAGAATGACTATGCAACTGTGTTCCAGTTATTGGAGAAGTTGGTGCTTATCAGCAAGATGTTGTGATTGCCTGTGCAAGAATTCAGCCCTGTTCAGTTGAAACTTCATTTAGCTTAAATCACCTGTACTGAAGTTGACTAAACTGAGTTAGTTCACGGATAGTGGTAGGCTAAACACATGCAAATCAACAGGAACAGCAGCTCAGCTTGTGAGCAATAGCTTTCAAACACCCCATACTGTAACTGAACTCAGTTTTGTGCCCAGAGCCAACATGGGCTCTAGCATTGTCTCACAAAGTTTCCTAGGTATTATGGAAAGAATTCTCCTCTCCTCCTAAAAATGAGGCTGATGCAATTCTACAGGTGCTGCTGAGCCAGTATGTGTTATAGATGTGCATTTTTACAATAACAGAGAATTAGAATTCTGAGTCAGTTCTGTAAGCCACTCAAAGCTATCAGCCCTCAAACAAGGCAGAAGCTGAGCTGTCACAGCTCTGGCTAGGAGATAGCTACAACAGCTAAGGAAGCAACAGAGCATAAGCATGGCCTGACCTAACAGGCCCATGCTTTAACATGTCATCTAACAGAAAAGACTACTGTTTTATAAGGTTTAAAAACAAATAAACAACCACCAATGTATACTGTAAAACTAGGTTCTGAATTTGACAACAAGTCCAGAGGTTTATCCACACACTACTAACATACCACAGGGAAATATTAGCTTAATCAAGTCAGAGTATCCCACAGCCTATGTCAAGTTTTATTCAGGAATGGAGTCACTTAACCAAGAACAAAGGACTTCTAGTTACCTTTAAGTAGAACTTTGATATCTCAAACAGTCGCTGGCTGCAGGATGCAAAGCACTTGTGATCCTCTGCAATGCCGTATTTTCGAAGAGTCTTAGCAACCACCTCCTTCAGCATCTTGGAAACAGCAGAAACACAAAAGTTCATCTCAATCATTGACATGAAAAATTGACCAAGGGAAGTTTAAAAAAACCAAAATAGAAAACCTGATGTTTTTTAATCTTGCCTCTGTCTAATCCATTGCTCAAATGCCATCAGCCCACTGACCAAATCTGAGCAGAGTTATTTAACTCTTTCCATTTCCTTCATCTAGAAAAATTAAGGAAATGTTTACATGCCAAAGCAATGTAAAGGATCAGTTGGAAGAGAGATAAAAAAATCAATATTGGCTTCGTTTTTTTCTTCCCCCAAAACAAGATAAGTTTTCTTTATATTGATATTCCTTTGTTGGACACATCCATATTTTAAAAGTAATTTAAAAAATCTGAAACCACAGTCACATTAGAAAATTCCCTCTGTCATTTTTTCTATCAGAGATGTTTAAACTTTGCTGTATGTCTGAATGAGCCACACCAGTTTACGCTTACTTGGGTCATCCCAACTTGCCTGTGACAGTACAACACCAACATTCTTGCACTGACCTCTCTGCACCCTGGGGTTAATTGAAAATTAGGATCACCATGCCAGAACAGTTTTGTGCATTGCATTTTAAAAGAGGCATTGCTAATATACACAGCTATTAATCAAACATTATTGCACCATCGTAGTTAAATGTTATCTCAATTAATGGACTTGTACAACTACTGAAATACCATTTTATTCTCAGAATAATCTGTTCTTCCACAATGGCTTTGACCCTTTCAGCACAGATGTTTCTTTGGTGCTTTTAGGTTTTATATTAATCTACATTTCGTAACTCCTACTCACTGATATTCATTTCCACCATTTTTATTCCTACTTGTTATCTCTCTCAACCTTAATTCCCTGGGCATGATAAAATACTTCTTACATACTGTTTCATTCCTTGCTTCTGTAGCACTCTCCTCAGTGACTTCAGGATTCACTTACACACGTGAACAGAATGAAATGTAACAATAATATAATGACAATTCACTTTGACTTAAAAATTTTTTTCAAACCAAGTCCCATGGAAAGAAGTGTAGCAGATGCTTTTTCACTGAGCAAATAACACAGATATCTACCCTCGTGTGTTTCTGGGATCTCGATTCCTTCGCAGGCTTTGAGGGCTCAGATTCAGCAGCATTTATGTGACTGGCTGGGCCAGCCAGAGTGGTCACTGTGTGGGGCTGCTCAGGCTGCCTCAACGGCATCGCGGCCAACGCAACTGATCTCTCGGCGCGCTTCCTCGTGACAGCAGCTGCACAGTGACTCCCACTGCTCCCGCTCGCCTGGGAGAGAAGGGAATCTGTACTCTCAGATTTGGTCAGCCTAGGGAGAATTAAAAAAAAGAAAAGATAAAAATCAGTGAAACAGGTTTTAGATTTTGTACTGGTTATTTCGGTGCCATTGTTTCTGCTTTAGAGGATGCTGCCTCAAAGCAGTAAGTACTGTACGTGCTTGCAAACAGCATCTGGGAACAGCAGACAGGAAGGCAGGATTCTATTATGCAACATTTTTTGCATTAGAAGAACACTGCTGACTGGATTGGTCTCTGATACATAGACCCATTGCACCTCTGATTAAAAAAGTCTAGAAACAAACTGAAGAAATCAGATAACTAAGGAAATAAAACTCTTTGGTAGAAGAGGTAGTTTTGCATATGGACCCTTCATCTAGACAGCTGTGAAGAACACAGTTTGCTGGCCTCAAGTCTTATGATGAGACAAAACTTCTTGAAACTATCTAACTTCTGTTGGCCCTACAGGAATGTCACAACCCATCTTTAACTACAGGAAGTTGGGTGTTGGAATTCTATGGGAACATTGTAATCCTTGGTCCTTCAACTCTAAGAGTGTTAGTAATGCCAAAACTCCAACTTGCGAAGTGTTAAGTACAATTACACCTTTTCTAGCTATTCAGTAAGCTGCAAAAGATAGGAATATTCCTAAAACCATACCACTGTTAAAGGCTTACTGTGATCAGACTGCAAAGGGTATCAAACTGGAAAGATGGAAGAAGTGAAGTATTACTGTAAAAAGTGAATTCAGAAGCAGTGCCATATAGCAGCTATTTTTCATTGATGCAAAGAGTTTACATCTTCAGAGTAAGGACAAGGTACAAAGGGAAATCTTAAAAACTCAACTTCCAGAAAAGACTTTAATAAACGAGGCTGACAATAAGATTGAATTTTGGTAGGTCATCTTATGCCAGCAGTCCTTTGGATTAGAAATTCAATTATTCTGTTTGTACAGTACTTGGCTTCCTAAACCTCTCGTTGTTTATTTGTACTGCAGCAGCACTGACAGTTTCAGTCCTAGATGAGGCTATCTGTCATCTTTTCAAAGCCACTTGAGACTTGCAAGATACAACTCCAAATCTCTTAAATAAAAGGTGCCTGTGCTGCATGGTTTTGATTAATCTACTGCTATCAATGAGAGGTCACACTTGAGAAAAAAAATGAACCTATAGAAGAGGATTAAACAACTCGAACATTTGTCTAGATAGCTTCACTGAAACATTGAGATAAAAAAAAAGATGCAGTTCACAAGAGACTACTGAAATATTTCATGCTAAAGATTCATTTTATTCAGTACATTACCTTTTCTTGGGATGAAAGCAATCCAAGTCTTTTGATCTGCATTTTAGCCTTGATGTCTCTGTTTTGAATTCACTTTGTAAAGTCTCTCCATCAGGGACACTTCCAGGCTCTGACAAGACTGCGGGAGACGGGAGAGGACTCAAGACAACTGGCACAGGGCAGCACTCTTTGGTGCAAGTAGTCTGAGTTTCATAGCGAATAAGTCGAGTCTGAAGCTCAGCATACCCCACATCTCTCTCTAAGGATCTTCTGTTATCTAGACAATACCTAAAATTGAAATTGGGTGAGAAACCTGTGAGAGAAAGTCTCTGCTTTATTACTATCAGAAAAAAAACCCAGAAAAACTTACTTTTGACAACCATGTGAACTCCAAAAACATTTTTTTTGTTTGAACTGGTGTACTGCTCTGAAAGATAACTTAGAACAGTCCAGTAAATTAACACACACCTGATTGATTTAAGAGTAAAGTCCAATTCCTACAAAGAAGCTGAATCATATGCTATTTGCAAGTCTTTATCCTGGGGTTTTATACATGATTTCTATGGACATTAGCAGAATGTTTTCCTTGACCAAGAAGTGTCTGCCATCTGCATTCTCTGAAATGCAACCTTTAGCTTTGTCTCTCACATTGCTTTATGAGAGATTCATGTATTTTATAACCTAAAATTACAAAAATCATCACTGAACAAGCACAAGTTTCCTACTGACTACAATGGATATGTGGTTAAATCAATCAAATCAAAAGAAGAAACTGCATTAAATAAACTGTAGAATACCATGGGATAAAGCCTGCAGAGGGAAGAGGAGCCCAAGAAAGATGGTTAGTATTCAAGAAGCACCTCCTCCAAGCTCAGGAGCAATGCATTCCAGCAAAGAGCAAGTCAGATGAAAAGGCCAAGAGGCCTGTGTGGGTGAACATGGAGCACCTGGACAAACTCAAATACAGTGGAGCTGAAGGGTAACATGAACAGTGCTAACTCAGTGAAACACACTCATGAGTTTACAACACCACAAACTGCATCTTAACTAACTTTTCTCTGGTGTAAATGATTTCCAAGATTCCTTGCAAGAGACTAGAGTTCCATCACCCAGTAATTCACATTACCTCTATGCAGGGAAAGGTCCCAGTATTATCCAGTATTACTTCATCCTTTCCTTAAGAAGCATTGTGAACAATGCGAGCTATGCTCAGCCCACCCTCCAAACTGCTCAGCAATGTTTTACACTCTTAGAAACTCTGGACACATTTGTTACTTTTATCTCTTCACATGGAGTCATATTAAATCACTAGATCTGATTTTTCCACTTTCTTCAGAGTATTTTCATATTCTGGGGGAAATTCACTTTTCTAGTAACAGACCAGTGAATGCATTTCTACAGTTGAGTAAGACTTTCCATTCGAAATAAATTCATTATCTGATCAGAAACTAAGTTCTCTTAGCTTACAAATTTCAAGGTATTTAATTTTCCTCATTTATATTCTCAGTCCCGTGAGTACTCACATCCCATGTAAAGATAAAAATCTATTTATCTTTAGAAGTTAAATTGCTATTTTACTCACTGCTTTAATGGCAATTACTTTCTCTTTCCAACACAGGATTCCAGTGTTTGGCACATGTTCATTACACCAAAAATCTGATTTAATCATAAATAGGAACAGCCTCATCTTCACAAGTCCTGATCCTCATGGGGGACTTCAACCACCCCAGATTCTGCTGGAGGGACAATCCACTGGAGGTTCCTGGAATGTGTTGATGATAACTTCCTTCTCTGAGTGAGGTGAGATGCTATGCTGGACCTTGTTCCCACCAATAAGGATGGGCTGGTGGGAAACATGGAGCTCAAGGGCAGCCTTGGCTGCAATGACCATTACATAGTGCAGTTTGAGATCCCCAGGGCAGCAAGGAGGGTGCACAGCAAGCTCACTACACTGGACTTCAGGAGAGTAGACTTTGGCCTCTTTAAAGATCTGCTTGGTAGAATACCATGGGATAAACCCTCTGGAGGGAAGAGGAGCCCAAGATGGTTAGTATTAAAGAAGCACCTCCTCCAAGCTCAGGAGCAATGCATTCCAGCACAGAACAAGTCAGACAAAAATGCCAAGAGGCCTGTGGGGGTGAACATGGAGCACCTGGACAAACTCAAACACAAAAATGAAGCCTACAGAGGGTAGAAGCAAGGACAGGAATCCTGGGAGGAAAGCAGAGAAACTGCCTGAGAAGCAGGGATCAGATGGGAAAGCTAAAGCCCTGATAGAATTCAGTCTGGCCAGGGACATCCCAGACAACAAGAAAAGCTTCTTTAAGTATGTTGGTGATAAAGACTAGGGAAAATGTGGGCACTCTCCAGAAGGAAACAAGAGACCTGATTACCTGGGATATGGAGAAGGCTCATGGAGTTACTCAACAAAGTTTTTGTCTGTCTTCACCACTGAGTGCTTCAGCCACACTGCTAGAGCAGAAGGCAAAGGCAGGGACTGGGACAATGAAGAACTGCCTACTGTAGGAGAAGATCGGGGTTGAAAACATCTAAGGAACCTGAAGGTGCACAAGTTGAAAACATCCAAGGAACCTGAAGGTGCACAAGTCCATGGGACCTGATGAGATGCATCCATGAGTCCTGAGAGAACTGGCAGATGAAGAGGTTAAGCCACGATTTATCATATTTAAGAAGTCATGGCATTCCAGTGAAGTTCCCACTGACTGGAAAAGAGGAAGTATGATCCCCATTTTTAAAAAGGAAAACAAGGAAGATCCAGGGAACTACAGACCAGTCAGTCTCACCTTTGTGCCCAGCAAGATCATGGAGCAGATCCTCCTGGAAACTACAGTGAGGCACATGTAAAATAATGAGATGACTGGTGACAGCCAACATGGCTTCACTAATGGAAAATCATACATGACAAATCTGGTGGTCTTCTACAGCAGGGTTACAGGGCTGGTGGATACGGGAAGAACAACTGCTACAATCTAACTGGACTTGTGCCAAGCATTTGACTTCAGTGAATGGACTGGCTAGATGGTCACACTCAGAGTTGTGGTCAACACCTTGATGTCCAGGTGGAGGGCAGTGATGGGTGGCATTCCTCAGGGGTCAGTATGGGACTGGCGCTGTTTAATATCTTTGCTGGTGACAGACAGCAGGATTGTGTGCACCCTCAGCAAGTCTGCTGACAACACCAAGCTGTGTGCTGCAGTTAATACGTTGGAAGGAAAGGAAGCCATCCAGAAGGACCTGGACAGGCTTGAGAGGTGGGCCCCTCTTGTTGAACCTCGTGAGGTTCAACAAGGCCAAGTGTTGTCCTGCACCTGGCTGAGAGCAATCCCAGGCACCAACACAGGCTGAATGCAGAATGGATTAAGAGCAGCACTAAGAAGAAGGATGTGAGGATTTTGGTGCCCCTGCCCATGGCACAGGCATCGGAACTAGATCTTTAACGTCCCTTCCAAGTCAAAGCATTCTGAGAACTGCTACTCCTTGTTTTGTTGACAAGACTTTACCTCCAAATACAAATACAGCAGCTAAGCAGATGGAAACTGCAATAATGACTCCATGGTACAAATCACTTCTGCTCCAAAACCACAATACCATTGCTACAATATGTTCTGCTCATACAGCTGCAGGGTCCTCCCTTTCACAGTAGTTTCTACTATCTCACTCTACTGCTTCTCTCCCATATTGCTGAGCACATTCCCCCTGTAACATTAACATGCCAGGGTCTCCCTCCTCTCCACAATACCCATGCCTCCCCTGTGGTCTATGCCTGTCATATTTTGCCATGAGAAGAGGCAGCACAAGCTGTACTGTGTCTAATTGAAATCCCAGGCACATTCCTTGCTGAGGTCAGCAAGATACCACATCACAACAGACAATGGCCAAGTTGTTTCTTCCCACACCTACCATATGCATTTCACTTACTTATCCAGTTGCCTCTCTGGGCCACTTTATGACAAATCTAAGAAGCCTAACAGGCTCATGAGTTACTACTCAGAAAAAGAGAAGAAATAGGTAACTGAAGAGATAGAACGAGTGCTTGAATTCCCTAGAGAACATGGCTAAAATTACTAGATATTAAACATAAGCTTAACCAAACTATTTGTAAAATTGATAGTAAAAAAATACCAGCAATATCATTAGTCACATTCTAATAATCTGAAAATGTGACTTTAGGAGGCAGCAGAAATTTGCAGGAAGATCAAACTGCCTACACTTGGTATCTACTGCATTTCTTAATATATACTATGCTAAGACTGAGACTGTCTATATGGAAGAGTTAAGCTGAACTATGGAATCATAGACTCATAGACTGTTAAGGGGTTGGAATGAACCTTAGAGATCATCTAGTCCCAACACCCCCTGCCATGGGCAGGGACACCTTCCATTACACCAGTTTGCTCAAGGCTTTATCCAACCTGGCTTTGAACACTGCGAGGACTGGGGCAACCATGACCTCCTTTGTGCAAGCTGTTCCAGTGTCTTACCACTCTCACATTAAAAAGTTTTTTCCTAGTATCTAATCTAACTTTCCCCTCTTTCAATTTAAACCCATTACTCCTTGTTCTATCACTGCAGTTCCTAACAAAGGAACCTACCTACTCTAGTGTTCCTGTATGTCTTTTTCTTCTCTCAATGACAATTCTAAATTGGTTTTATACAGCTACATTACATGAGGTTTACTCATCTGTAGTTTTGACAAGTAATCATTGCTAGATGGGACTAAATACAGTCCTAACCGTATCGATCCTTTTGAACATTCTTACCACCAACACTTACCTGTTGGTGTTGTTTTCAGGTTCCTGAACATACAGGTAGCTTCACAGCAGGTCTCATAAACATTATGACTATTAGTTTGAAAGGGCCTACAATTAAATTTCAAAGTAGAAACTATGTTCACGCGCTGCCCCTGGAGCTTGGTATGTACTAATGAACCCTATTTCCCTTGACACTTATTTCTGAATTAAAATCTTCAGACACTGAGAATGGCTTCAGCAGTACAGCTTAGAAAAAACCTAAAAGTTTTTCATACTACCATCAAGGCAGGAGTGTTTCAATTTAAACCAGTGACTAAAATAAAGCAAAGAAAAGGAGAGGTGGCATGTGCAAAGCTTCCAATGAAGGAAGAGGATATATAAAATTTTCCATAATTAATATACATGTTGCTTGAAATGTTTCTAATTATACCTAGACTGGAAACTAAAAAATAATTTTGGGAAAAGAAGCCAGGAAACTTACTCAAGTCCATGATAATGGCATCCAGCTGCTTTTTCAAAAGGCAAACCTCTGAGTTTCCGAGGGGTAAGCTCTGGTGTCAAAAGAAATGCGTTTTCACTAAAAGAAGAAAAATACAGATCTATTTTGACTAGTTGCAGTCATTATACTTCCAAAAATCAGAAACAAATGCCTTGACGTCGAAAGACCAAAACAGCATGCCTTGCAGCTAAGCCCCCAGGGTAAAGCATCAATGGAAAATTAAATCTTTATTGAAGTGAGAATGTAAATTCAGCTAATTCCTACTGAGGTGTTATTATTACAGAAACTCTTAGACATTTCAACCAGTTGAGGTCATTGCTCCAAATAATTTACCAAAAAAACAGGCAAATATCACCCCATTTCACAATGGGGCAACTGAGCAGTAGAATGAACTGAGAGGAAGTGGGAAGTAACCTCCCATTTTTCAATCCAGCACTGTAAGCAGTTAATTTCTTCCCTTTAGCTTCAAGCTGTTGTCTCACCTAGCATTCACCTTTCCCAGGTTTCATAACCTACAACTTGTCTCCAGTGATATTTCAATTCCAGCTAGTGACTCTCTGCAACTAAATCATATGAATGTGTTTGTTTGAAAGTATTTTAACAGAATATGCCATTGCAAGATGGACAGATTCCTGCCAGATTCCAGCATACCGTCACATCTCATCTCTAAAGGAGAGAAGAGATGAAGATGTAGCAGTATCTGAAACTTAACACCATGCTTCTGGGAGTTTGGATAGCCAGAAAGCTGAACATGAGCCAGCAGTGAGCTCAGGTGGCCAAGAAGGCCAATGGCATCCTGGCCTGGATCAGGAACAGCACGGTCAGCAGGACCAGGGAGGTGATTCTGCCTCTGCACTCGGCGCTGGTGAGGCCACAACTTGAGTACTGTGTACAGTTCTGGGCCCCTCAGTTCAGGAAGGATATTGAGGTGCTGGAGCAGGTCCAGAGAAGAGCAACGAGGCTGGTGAAGGGACTCGAGCACAAGTGCCATGAGGAGAGGCTGAGGGAGCTGGGGGTGTTTAGCCTCGAGAAGAGGAGGCTCAGGGGAGACCTTATC